GCCTTAATCAAAATATAATATTTTAATGCTAAAAGAAAAAAAATTAATAATATAAATATTCTCTATGTTAAGCTGTCCCCAAAAAAAAAAGGAAATTCAAAATCGGCTATTTACATGGCCTTAGGCTAGGGTTGATCTAACACAAGTATGTTTTAGGGACTATTCAGTAAAGAACTGTGATAGTTAGGATATACCGAAGACGAAGAAAAAAAAAAAAAAAACGATTTTTTTTAGACTTTTTGGTGGGTGCCCCCCCTATGGGGGAGCAAGGTTAAAATTATATATGAAACAAAGCGCAATTCTATACTCTATGTCATGCAAAAAGAATCAATCAGTTATCTCTAACGGATATCTTTTTATGATGTAATGAGTAGGAAAAGGTGGCCATTTTCCAGGACAGTCCCCTTAACCCACTCGCGCCGGGTACATTCTGTAGCCAAAATTTAAAAAATCCGGGCAGCTACAAAATCGGCGGGCGGAGCTTCCCCGGAGTCTGTCCGCCCGCCCGGCCGCGCGCCGCTTCTGCCTCGGAGCACGGCTCCTAGACAGCATCGCACTGGCGGGCAGCCCGACACTGTTTATTTTTTTCCCTGTGTCTCATATATGTGACACCCGGGACGAATGGGTTAAAGGCTGGTGGTGAACCTATGGCATGTGGGTTTCATGCTGGCCTGGCTGCCATCTGGCGGTCTGGTACAGTTCCCCCTGACCTGTTGAGGGGTGTGGTCATCCCTCTCTGGAAGGGGAAGGGGGACCGATGGGGCTGCAGCAATCAACAAGGCATCATACTACTCAGTATAACAGGCAAGATTCTCGCCCACATCCTTCTGAGACATATCAGACCATCTACTAAGGCATCAGAGGCCGGAGCAATCTGGATTCACTCCTGGTAAGTCCACAATAGACTGTATCCTTGCACTTCAAGTCATTGTAGAGCGCCATCGTGAGTTCGGGCGTGGGCTAATTACAGTCGACATCTACCTCAAGAAGGGGTTCGATACAGTGCATCAGGAATAAATCTGGGAGATCCTGAGTTTGAGAGGAATTCCAACAAGGATTATTGGACTAATAGCAAGTCTGTATACTATTATTGAAATTGCTGTAAAGTGTGGTGGGGGCCTGTCAAGCTTCTTTCCTGTTAGTTCAGGAGTTAGGTAAAGCTGTGTTCTTGCACCACACTTTTTGCATGGACTGGATACTGGGCAGAGCTACTGTTCAAAGTCAATTGTGGGCAATATCAAGGTTACAGACCTTGACTTTGCGTATGATGTTGCTATTCTATCTGAGTCTTTGGAAAACTTACTGGTGGCTCTCACTGTATGTAACGAAACGAAGCCCTTGGTTCTAAAGGTCTCCTGGACCAAGACCACTATCCAGGATTTTGGGGACTTGCTAGGAAAACCTGTTCGGTCGGTCAGACCAAGAAGTCAGCAGACAGATTGGCCTGGCAGCAGGGATCATGAACTCTCTCAACAAGAGTATTTGGAGATGCCAGTGCCTGTGCAGAAGGACCAAGCTACGGGTTTTCACAGCCCTGATAATGACAGTTTTGCTATCCTGTAGTGAAACCTGGACATTATCCAGAGCCTTGGAGTCTTGTCTTGATGCCTTCTGTAATAGGTCCTTGTGCTGGATCATGGGATACTGCTGGCGGAACCTAGTGTCTAACCAACAGTTAGACACGTGCTAGACATCAAAGGTCATGTAGCACTATGGTAAAGTATTGTGCAGGAAAGGGTAAAGAGGAGTTAAAGAAGGTATAAGAATAATGTTCAAGTAAAACAGAGATGGCTACTGGAAAAGTAAAGGAATCCAGGGAGAGGGGCAGGGGGCGTAAGATGTCAAGAATTAGAATGTTACAAGAAAGTATGGTAACAACTTGGAAAAGAAGGAAGTAAATGAAGTAGAGCAGGGATTAGTAAACTGGGAAAGGTTAAGGGGGTAGAGCAACTGAGTAAATTGTATTGTATAAGTGACTGGGGAAGGAATAGAGGTTGCTGTTGGAGAAGTAGGAGGAAAAGAATCCAGGGGATGAAAATAGGGGACTGAGGAAGGTGGTGAATTATCAGGAAGAATGTCTGCAGGGGAGGGGTCTGGAGAACGACATTGTTGTGATAGAGGGGATTTGTGTGAGTAATCAAGTGGGAGCATTAGAGAGGGTGGGGTTTGTTGTGAGGGTGATGGAGGAAGAGGGTTGGAGAGAATTTGAGGAGGAGGTGGATGGATACTTGCAAATACTTTAAATGTAGTAGAAACAGAGGTATTGGGGGTGGATGAGGGAGCGGAGCATTCCCTTGGGTTATCTTTAGGAAGTTTGGATATCTCCAAGGGTTTCTGAAGGGGAGTTGGATGAAGAGGACTGAGAAACAAAGGTTCTCTTATGAGGAGAAGAGGAGATAGATATCTGCAGAGCAGAAGAGGAGGAAGGTGTAGGAGAGGATATAGTAGGAGAGGGTGGAGTGGAACATCTAGGTTGCCTGGTGCTACAAGTGAGGAGGAGGGGTAGGTATCGGGGAAGTGGTAGAGATTGGAGCATCTGGATTTAGACTGGAAAACAAATTTGACCGGGGGATTGGGTGAGTAGATATATGATGGGTTAGGGTATAGGGAAGATACTGGAAAAGATGCAAAAACATCTTGTAAAGATGGTGGGGGAGTTCTGGAATAAGTAGAAAGAGAAATACCTCGTTGTCATGCTTCTTGTCTGGCATCCCGTAGTGTGTGGCCTAGTTTGAATCTCAGGACTGCTACCTCACATTCAAAGTTATAGGTAGGGCAGCTCCAATAAAATATAACATGGGAGTCTCCACATATACGTGACTGAGCAAGGCAATTTGAACAGTCATGACCAGGTTGGGCACATAGAGGGCAGCGAGCTGTGGAGTGACAAATTGTTTAGCTGGTTGGTCAAAATGCCATCATTTCTGACATTTACCAGGAAGAGGTCGATATGGTCGGACACGGTAGGACAATCCACCAATATCAACTTCACGGGGAAGCTCATGTCTACGGAAGCTAATCTTGGCAATATTGACATAGGACTTACACTAGCCTCTGGAGGAATAGTGTAGCATTGTGCTGCCACTGCATCATAGTCAGCAAGGCATGTAAGTAGGTAATTTTCAGTCCTTGTTAAAGATAGGACAAGTATTTGGGAGGATAGTAACAGTTGCAGTACAAGTATTAACCCATTCATGCTGGTATATTTTGAAGCCAAAAATAAAATATTCTGCGCGGCTACAAAATCGGCGGGCGGAGCTTCCCCGGAGTCTGTCCGCTCGCCAGCTACAGCCCGCTGCTGCGTCAGAGCACGAGCTTGATACAGCGTTACACTGGCGGGACGCCGGCAATATTTATTTTTTTCGGGTGTCTCATATATGGGACACCCGTCGCTAATGGGTTAAGAGGAGGATGAGTTTCGGCAGGAATGGATTGCCAGTGAGGTCAGTTAGGGCAGACAGTGCACAACCTTGGGATTCAGATGGAACTATGACAAGGTGTGAATGATCAGATTAACTGCGATAGGTAACCTTGCCTACTTGTTTTTGGAGACACTGTTGAAAGAGAAGGGTATTTTCAGAGTAGGGGGCTGTGGGGGAATCACAAAGAATCATCCCACTTGAGTGGGCCAAAGATAGTACTCAGAAGGTATGCATAGGTAGAGGCAGTAGAAGGATGAGGGTGAAGGAAGATGGGGTTGTGTGGAGTGGAGTAGTTCTGTGGGGGGGGGGGCAATAAGGATGAACAGTAGAAATAAGGGATGAGGGGGTAGATATTGAAGAGGACTGTGCAGTAGAGATGGAGAGAATGTTACAAGAGAGATAGGGGTGCTTTCTGGAGGTTGAGTACTAACCGTGGTAGGTGTTTTAGAATGGATAGAGTTGTTAGTAAGCATCAAGGAGGGTGTATTAGTATCAGCGGTCAGAATCGCGGTTAAAGCAGGGGCAGGGGTTAGAAAACCATCAAAATCATATTTAGATAGGCTAGTTAATGAAGGGGCAAGCCTTAATGCCCCAATCAAGGGTACAGAATATTCATAATTGGCCATAGAGCACCTGCGTAAAATGGGGACCCATAAGGGGTAAGGGCTAGGTAGTTAACTAAGGGAATACCGTGTCCATGGCTCTTGGAGCCTGCTCATGACTGACACAAAGCCAGCCTTTCATCCTTACAGCACGGCTCTCACACCTTAGGAATGGGCTAGAAGGGATGAAGATACAAATGAGGAAAGGGCAGAAGAAATGACCAAGCAAAATTAATTGAGGTGAGGACAGAGGCTCAAGGTAGGGGTGATCACTTACAGTGGGCCTCAGTCTCCATCTCCTAAGCCCTCCCACGAAAACAACAAACAAGGTATTGAGAGGGTAATTCAATGAAAAAAAAAAAATAATAATAATAATAATAATAATGTAACATTTGGTTACTGTCCTGCTATCCCTAGAAGATATCATGCACTGCACCCTTTTGCTGCTGCCATGAACTTCTAAGGTAGCGTTCACTCTAGCTTACCTCCACAGTACAGAAATTTATTTTTATGATCAAACCTTCAAAGAAAATTGGGTAAAGTCACAAATTGAATCAAGTCTTAAATTAGTCAAACTACAGATATTGAAATCTACTGTGGATTTTTTTATGTACAATAGCCTCAGAAGGCAAGTTCGCCAGACATCAGCCAGGACATGAGAAAATGCTCTAATTACCATAGAGGGCACTCTACACCCTCCTCCTTCCTTGTCCTGAGTGTATAGAGTATGGATAGGGTACTTGAGGAGTAAGGATGAGCAGGTAATAGTGAGTAGACACTTACAGTAGAGAAGACTTTGAGACAAGCCTAGAAGATTTAAGGCCATCTCTAAACCTTTACAGTGTCTTCTAGTACCAATTACAAAAAATTTTGGTCTGCTGGCTCTACATTACAAATTCCAATATTCACTCATGAAGGTACTATTGTACACTAGATATTTGTATCTTAAAAGTTAAAACTTATTTTCAATACTTACTGTAATAGAGGCATAAGAATATTTTCAGACAAAACATAATCACGGCAATCTGGTGAATCTCCTGCAATGTTGCCTAGTGCCCAAACAGCCTGTTCTTGGACATCTTCAAAATCTGAGCTCAAGAGGCGGATGAAGATAGGTACTGCACCAGCTTCTATTACAATTCGGGTCTGCGTGCTTGTGCCAGAGGCTATGTTGGTGAGGGCCCATGCCGCTTCAAACTGTGAAAATTTGAAATCTAACTTAAATTCTTTTTTTAGATATCATTTTAACTTTTGTACGAGTCAAACCATTAAATCAAATATGTACAAATGCATAAAGCTATAAAAATAATTAATCTTTAACCTCCAAAGAACAATAAACATTAACAGTCACACTCAGACATATATGGTACACTGGGTGAAAGCCAGCAAGACCTTTTACTTTATAATATTGCTTTAGCTGTTCATTACAGACTTTTGAGGAAGTGTCTGTTTAACAACGTCATAGAGGAGGCTTAAATTCATGTGGCATGGGGTACTTGCTGCCCAGCATATGGACTTGATGCACCACGTTAAGAATGGAAGCTACCCAGTATGCGTTGAAAGGACCGTCCCTAGTGGCACTCTATTCTCGCCCTTATACCCAAACCCCTTTCCCTCCCTTGTTTGTTGCTGATGTTCACACCCGCGTAGATCCTCAGCCGATTTACACCGTAATGTTCTGCCCTGGTCCCTGTGAGGATTTTGCACCCCGTAGTGACTTCATATTCAGTTATATGATGAAAAAAACTTCACTGTATGGATTGCAGAGATGTTGAATGTGTGGATCAGTGGCAAGCCAGCTACCTGCCCCCTTGTTTGCCAATCCACCGGTCATCGCAGTGGTTTTGCATGCTTCTCACCAGGTGAGGTTGGCATTGGAGCTCGCAGGGGGGAGGGAGGCAGACAAGAAGGGGAGGTAAGTTGCCAACATCCCAGGCATGTGGCATGTAGACCGGGCGCGTACAAACACCCTTGAGCAGTGACAAGATTCTGTGCTTCCCTTTGTAAAGTTATTTGTGTAAACTTTTTTAGCTTGTTTGCCATTTTCCAATGTCTATATTTGCCTTTTAAAAAAATATAGATGATTGGTTATTTGTGTCATGTATATTATTTTTCGTAATTTTCAATTTTCCATTATAACACCTCCACCAACAGTCACAGCAGCCAGGAATATGGAGCCAGTACTTTTCCAGTCACAGCTTACACTTGTCACATTCAATATTTTTTATCAATAGGAATAATGCTAAAGCACCCTTCTAATCGCCAAATGAGACAAATCACACTCTAAGAGGTTTGTGCACTTGTGACAAGTGTTTTCCGTTACCTTGGCCTTCATTCATGATAGTATGTTCACATCACCCGGCCCTAAACCCAGATTTTTCCATGACA